ACCTGCCAGGCACCAAGGTTTATGCATTTGTCATAGTAAATCCTCAATAGTCTTATGGAATCAGTATTATTATTGTCTCTAATTTATAGATATGGATACTGCCTCAAAATGGCCGAGGAAGACCTAGTAAAGACAAATGAATAGGGAACATTGTGTTCATAATCATCTAGTTTTATCTCACTTAAACATCAAATGAAAAGTGAGAAGATGTAAGTGAGCCTAAGAGGAGGGTAGATGAGTTTTTCCAGATACTCTGTTTAATGGCTGCCAGGTAGCACTTTGAAACTTTTCAAAATTAAACGGGATGCTCTTTTGACATGCTTTGCATGCCAGGTTTCACAGGCAACTAAGAGTAAAGTAAAAAATTGTTGAAAAGTGAACCAGGAAGAATGGTGATTTAAAGAATGAGCACAAAAAACCACCACAGCGGCCCTCCCTGGTGGCGCAGCGGGTTAAAGCACTGCACTAAGAAACTAAAGCCACTTCCGCATGAGATTCCCGCCAGCCCCAGAGGCGACCACATGACACGGCAGACCTCTCCTGACCCGCCCGCTGCTCCCCTCAGCAGTGTAATTCGTCGATCTGCCTGCTCTGCTTCCCATTCTGTCTCTGGTGAATCCTCTCACCCTCCGCATCTCTGGCCTGTACCCCAGTTCTGTACAAATAAATATAATAAATCTTTAAAAACAAACAAACAACCACAGCATCTACTATTACCTAAGCCATTAGAAGAAAGGTGTAACATTCAATGAATCCTTTTCCTCACTTTTCAACAGAAGTGAGGAAAAAATGGATTCCCTTTTGTATCTATTTAAAATGTTTCAGTTGATTTCAAGCGGATTAAAGGGATTTGCTAGTTCACATGGACTTCAAACCCATATGCAAATAGCACTTTAGATACAATACCACAAATTTATAGTCAAAGACAAAACTTTGTTTTTAAGTACAGCACACAATGTAACTGCAATTGAATGTCATACACACAAACAGAAGCCAGATAAAGTTAAGCTCCAGTGAAGAACTTTGGTAATTACCAGCTGCATTGAAAAAAAACACTGTGGAACGTCTCTCTCCATTGTTTATGATTGCTGCAAAAGCACTCCTCTCTGCTGCCTGCCTCCATGGCCATTTTATCCTCTCCCTCTCCCACTGATCCCTAGTGTTCCTGCCCAATTATTCAGCAATCAACTTTTGTTTCAATGACACCTTCAAAGAAGGAGGGATAATAGAGCAGAATAGAGGAGAGATGTGGGTGGGTGGGATGGGGTGGGAAGAGAGACATACAGAAAGACAGAGACAGAAACAGAGAGTGTGTGTGTGTGTGTGTGTGGGGGGGGGGGTTACAGGAATGAGAGAACTTGGAAGTATCACCTCACCTCCCCCACCTCCAAGTTTTTAAACAAAATTGAACTCCAGGATGAGAAAATGTTTTTTTTTTTTTTTTTAATGGGAGGACCTTACAACCAGTAATAGGTCCTATATAAAAATAAGTGCCCAGTAGCAGGGCAGTGATCTGTTTACTGAGTCAATAGAGATTACTGAGTGCCTACTATGGTAAGGCCCTGTGCTCAGCGGATATTTATGCAAGTAAAAGGCACGAGTTGTTTATATACAAATGAAAAATTACAGCTCATTGTATGGTGATTTTTTTTTTATTTGAAAACCCAAATCCCATCTAAGAGGACTTAAGGGTTTAATTAATATGAATTCAGTTATATGGCTTATATTTACCTTGAAATATTCTATTAAACTGTGCTTTTCTAAAATTATTTTCTCTCTAGCTTAAACTTCTTTGTAAGATCTTCCTCCTGGCCAGTTACTAAAGTGTTGGTATTTCCTTGAATCATGAATCACGTATTCATCTCTTTATTCTCAAACTTCCCGCCAGATTTCCCATTATCACTGTGGCTTCTAGTGTCATCTATGCTCTATGGAGATGAAGTCTGAAGACACAAACCTCCGCAGGTCCAGTTCAAGCCTCTTCTGAGTTCTAGATTCATATGAGCACCCCCTCTTCACACTAGCTTCTAGATGTTTCCATGCACCCAAAAACAAAATATCAAAAATTGAACTGATGAATTCGTTATCTCATTGGCTAATATAATCATTATAACCTGCTTAATCAAGAAGCTCAGAAGTCATTCTTAGTTCCTTCTTTTTTAGTTTCTCACAACTAGTCTAAAAATTCATGGATTTTTATATCCAAAAATAAGTTAACAACGTATTCACTCCTTATCCTTTCTCTGGTACCACCAAACTCAGGTCACCAGTGTGTCTTCTGAACATTCTCATGGATATATGCCCAGTGGGTCTCCTTGGTGTCCATTTCACCTTCATCAAATTACTTTTGACTTTTCAAGTTGCAAGTTAAAAATGCGAATGTGATATTTCCTCATTTCAAACCCTGAACTCGTGCAGTAAATATAAACTCCTAATTCCTTTATGAGGTCCATTAGACTTCTGTTTGTTATAAACTCCTTCCTGACTTGCCTCTCCCCTCTCACACACTATGTTCTATAACACCAAACTTCTTTGAACGTTTCTAAAGATCCTTGAACATGAAATTGATGGTCTCTTTCACCTCAGGCCTTCCTAGGCTTGCCACTGCTAACTCCTGGTTATCAGTTAATTATTGTGAAGCCTTTTAGATTGCCACTCCAGTCCAGTTTACCCAATCCACCTTTAACCTCCTATACGTCCATCATATTTATCTAATAGTCTTTCCCACTAAATCTATCCTAGATGACTATCCAGTATGAGCAGCATTTTTTGTGTCCTTAGCTCCAGTGCAGTGCCTTACATAGAATTGGTGCTCAATAAATATTCATTCAATAAGTATATAGAATACCATTTTACTTACAGGGAAGGGTTTAGAGATAAATAAACAGGGCTTACCCTTAAAGAGGATAACATTAAATGAAGAATGTCTGTTATACATAATTATATGATGATAATGAATAAATAAATCGATTCCAATTTGGATATATGGGGATTTGCTAACATTGTAAATTGGAATTAAATATTTAGCTCTCCCTTCTAGGATAATCTAACCCACACTAAACACTTCTAGAAGACAGTTTTATGATATTTTATTACAGATAAGAAAATAGGCACAGCAAAGTTAATTGAGTTACTGAAGGTTACCCGGTGAATCAGAAACAGTCAGGATTTAAAATTCAAAGTTGTCAATCTCCAATTCTGAGTACTATGATGTTTGTTTTGAAACTATTTTGTCTTTTTTGCTCAAAATTCTATTGTATGGCTGTATGCTTTATTTTATGCTTTAACAGTCTTCTCCAAACTATCACCTATGATATTTATAGTGAATAGACGCTCAGACATGTAGGCACTTTTTGATGGATTTTTCCTCCAGCATTTAAATGAAAGGCCTTCTGTGGGGTGTCCTTGCACTCCTGTGCTCTTTAAGAGGTGTCAGTTCCTTCTTTGTCCTTCAAGAGAATGTTGGTATTATGCACCAATTGCCACCACACAGTGCCAACATTTAACTTTTCTGCTTTGGGACATCATCTTGGATACTCTACATCTGTAAATGTCCATTACTACTTGACTGGCGCATTCTATTACATTTGATGGACATTTGGGTAGAGAATGCTGCCAGTCCTTAATAAATACTTGAGAAGCAACACAACCTATTATATTTAATATGTTTCAACACTTGCATTGTGAAAGAAAATAAACTCAAAAAAGTTTGTGCTGCCATCAAAAAGGGCCAGATTTGTACTCTGTATGCAGTAAATATGTTTATACATGGTATTCTGAGGACCAGACTAGTTCTGTATGCATAAATAAATAAATCTTTAAAAAAAAGCTTTATATATCTTTGCAATATACATGCTTAGTGTTTTTATAACAACAAGCATCGCTGATATTAATTTCTCAGAGACAGGCAAGATATATATATATATACTCTTGAGAGTCTTCTACAATAGACTAGAACAATCAGGGGTCTTTCCTTTTATATGCTTCAATATAGGTACTGAAAGAAGTTAAGCTGTACAGAAATTGGGACCAATACGTGACAGTTTTCCCAGGCATATAGAACTATATACCCTTCCTTATAATTTTCGTATCAGTTCTATCGCTTTCTCTTAGTGGATATACCATTATATAAAAGAACCCCAATTATAGAATGTTCTCCTTGCTCTCTGGGTTTTGCTTGATTTATCTTTTATTTGCCAGAATCAGATAACTTTACTCCTTAAAGTTCAAGACAGCTTATTATATCATTCTCCAGTCCCACCCTGCAGTTTGAGACCCAGGAAGAACTATAACTGTCCAAAGTGTTTACTATTCTTAAGCACCAACGTGCCTTCTTTAAGTGAATTGGTCTTGCTGTATAAGTATACCTGATTATGTTTCCCCTAATAAAGACAGACACTTGAGTTACACATTTGTAAGTCAGCCCAATGTAAAAGAAACAGAGATCTTCTGTCAGATGCCAACCTAACATCAATTGCTCACAGCACAGAAATGTCAATTAAAATTCTAGTGCATAATTTTCCAGTCTAGGAAATATGCATAAATTTATGGTGAATTGAGAGGCATGCAAGGTAAGTCTTAAGCTCCATATATGTGTTAATATTCTAGGTTGGTCACTGGCAGATGACATTCATGGAGTGAAAATATATTTCACTTGAAAATGTAAATTTCATGAATTCATCCTCATTCATTAGTCCTGTTTTGGGGAAATGATTTTGGGAGGATTATGATTTCATTTATAATGCTGTAGTTCCTATTAAACTATAATAAGAAATAAAGATTCCTTTCAAGAATAACACAAAAACTGAGTTGGCTTCCTGCTTTAGAAGATTATAAATGTTTTCAACATATCCAAAAGGAAGCAAACTTCAGTTTGGATCTTTAAGTTATATTTTTTTCCTTCATCTGCCATACTTCCCTGAATATGACAATAATAAAGACAAACAAATAAAAATGTTTTCATCCCAATGATGCCTTTCCTAGTGGAGAATTTCCTCTACCTGCAGAGATTCCATTTCTTCATCTTTTCTGTGGGTCTCCTCCAGCAGATCTACAATAAGAGCGTAAAATACACATCAAAATACAATGTAAACATAGGGCCCTCCCTGGTGGCACAGCAGGTTAAAGCATAGCACTAAGAAGCTAAAACCACTTCAGCATAAGTTCGATCCCCGACTGCCCTGGAGGTGACCCACATGGTGCAGCAGACCTCTCCTGACCCGCCCGCTGCTCCCCTCAGCAGTGTACTTCGTTAGTTGGACTGTTCTACTCCCCACTCTGTCTCTGGTGAATCTTCTCAGAGCCCCTGTATCTCAGACCCCAGCTCTGAATGCATAAATAAATAAATCTTTTAAAAAATACAGTGTAAAAATAGGTTGTCACTTATTATCAAGCCAAATTCATTTGGTAGTTTGTATAAACTTTTGCCTGGAAAGAGAGTTTGATGCCTGATGTAAGAAATGTGCTATGATGCCAACTGATGAGATGACAGAGCTCTGGACTCTGCCAAAGCTAAGTTAGATATAAGCCCTGGGAGAACCCAGTGCTTCTGGAGATAGCAGAGAATGAGAGCAATGCAATTACAAATCCTAAATCATACCAATACTTTAGGAATTTCGTTCAGGGCTTATGTAACTCAAAAAGAACATAAATTTAATTTTCCCTTTTAAAAGAAAACTGTTTTGTTTTGAATGAAAAATTAGAAACAAACCATTTGCTCTTAAATTAAGCTTCCAAGCCAAGTTCCACCTCCAGAGGCAATTTTTATAGCTGAATTAGAACACCCTGGAATAATGGGTGCTATTAATGGAAGTAGAACACCACCTTAACTGTAAAGTCATATTAATTATAATTTCATACTGAGAGGGTGGGAAGCACTGAAGCTACATCTGACCAAGAGTTTGGCACCATCTCAGAGAAACCAGTGGCTAGAAGGGTAAGTAGTTGACTGAAGTGAGTTTTGTTTAAATGCATGTGAATAGCCAAGGTGTCTCAGTGCCCTAGATTAATTTATGAATCTTGCTATTAAGGAAAATATATTTGGCAAACAGAATTTTCTGCCTGCAGCTATACCACCCCATGTTATGATCTTATTAGATCTCACTAACCTAAAAAGGGCTGGGCTGAGTCAGAACTTGGATGAAAACTGTCAAGAAATACCTCCAGCAGCATACATTAAGATTAGCATTTGCCTTACTCAGTGATTGATAGTGCTTACCAAGAGACTGTGCTGCATAAAAGGAAAATATAACTTACATAAATTCAATATACATCCCAGAAAGGCAAATACAAATGTTGTAGCAAGTGCAACACTAGATACAGCAGGAAGCAGCAATACAGCGGGTAGAAAAGTTGTCCTGGTATATGTCAGAAATGGGCAGGGACTGAAACTACAGGTGACCTGGCAGATGACTGATAGTGATGACCCTTAGAGACAGAGTTACAGAGAAGTTGCAAGCAATTCTTTCAAAGCACAGTGTAGTGGGATTAAGGACAAAATGTTATGTTTACTTTGTATGTCACTGAGGAGCTGAATTTGGGTTCCCAAACCTCCCATAATCCATTACATCAGCAAAGTTAGAAGACACATCAATGTGTTAGGGTGTAATGTTAAAGTATTTTTGGTTGTCATGACAGGTTATGTAGCTATGTGCTACAGAAGCCAATTTGGAGTATGACAGACTAAGCACCTCCTTTTGAATTCTTACTCATTTGCATCTGACATTGCTACTACTACCATCATGTGACCACATGCATCTACTCTCCACACCAAGCCTCTGGCCTGGTCTCCTGACTTGACGTGGCAAATAGAACATAGCAGAAGCAACTCTACCAAACTGTGTTGAGGGTCTAAGAGGTCTCACACATTTTCACTTTCCCACTTGGAAATCTGACATTACCACATGGGCAAGCCTAAAAAAATGTGTCAGATGACAAGACACACATGGTCCAATGCTTTCCCACCTCCAACACCCTGAAGCTTGTCCCAACTGGTGGCAAGAAAATGCCCAGAAACACAGCTGTCTAGTTGACCTAAGGATGACTACAGATGACTCAAATGGGTACCCAATTGAGACCATACAAACTGCTCAATTGGGCTCAGTGCCAACTCCAACTCCAGAATCATGACCTTAATAAATGGAGTTTGGGGATGGCTTGGTACTCGGCATTTGCTAACCGATAGCAATCAGTTCCTATTTGGCATATTCACATTTTGGATTTGTAAGAAAGGACATAAGGATAATGAATTTCACATGGAAAAGAGGACCCCAAGCCTGAAGAGAGTAACTGGCCCAGTGGGCAAGGCTATAAATAGCATGAACTAGTCAGCATCATATCCTGGGTGCCTCTGATCTTTATATTACTCCACTCAGAAGGAGCTAATGAGCCGAGCTTAGATCTCTTGCCTACTGCTGGGCTGGGGGAAAGAACAGACCACTTTCATTGATGATCTCAAAATAATTGGACAAAGAACAAAAAGGAATGGTTTCCAAATGCAAAATCAGGTTACTGTTAACAGAAGAGGGAGGGACAGATATCAGGCAGGCCAAAATAACAGCTGTCTATTTCAGCTGGTTTTGATAAATTGTCATTAGCACATTCAGTTCAATACCCATGAGATATAAGGTCATCATTGTGTCCCTATATGAACATGACCATTTTACTCACAATTTTGGATAGAAAATTCTCAGAGCAGGGTCTTTTGGCACGAATTACATTATTTCATGGTACAGTGAAGCTACAGTGATATAGGGAAGTGAATCATACAGTAAAGAAAACTAACCTTATTCTTCCAGAGTCAAGCTGTTATCATATACACCAACTACAATAGCCAAAGATAGATAATCTGGAGCGCTAAAATGACAAACTTAACTTACATGTTTTATAAAACATGGATGAAAAGAAGCTGTTTACTTACAGAAATTCTCAGTAAAATTACTGCAATTAAAAAATTATGTATTTCTCCAAATACATCAAGGTCACTTTGCTCTTCCAATAAAGCTGACATTAATTGCAATACTTTGAGTAGCTGAAGAAAAACTAATAACATGCAATGCCTACAACTGGCATATAAAACACAGAACTTTCCTTCTGTTCACACTCACTGTGCCACTTTATGTGACGAGTACAAATGAACAGGTTATTTTTTTCCCTCTCTCTATAAATCATATTCTTTGAGAATTTCTGATGTCTATCAATGTGGTTACTATGAAATGTTTGTCTAGTGGCCTAACTAACCTCTCTTGCCATAAAAGTAGGTTGTGTGACCCAGGTTGGCAAGTCAGAGCACCTCCCCTCCCTGAGCAGATGACCGAAGCCATGCAAGCAGGAATACTTCTGCTGGTAATAATATAGATACTGGAGAGTACTTCCCTCCTGCATGATCAAGCTTACATTAGTTAGTGCTTCCAAGGCTGTATTTTTTATTGTGTCAAAGGGGCTCTACCTAACAATAAAGTTGGCAAAGACTAAAACAGAGTAACTCACAGAGAGAAAGAGAGATGACTTAATGCAAGATCCATCTTTGCCTAAAGTCCACATGCATTCTGGATTTCCAGCACTCTCTTTTTGGCTTTTACAACTTAAGTAAAAGCTTCAGCTGGATTGCTGTGATTTTCAGAAGTTTCTAGGGATATGGATGTACTGATCAACTTATTGCTATCCAGAAATTTGGAGAACTTAAAAAGAAGTTTCTGGCCCTCCCTGATGGCACAGTGGGTTTAAAGCACAGCACTAAGAAGCTAAAGCCACTTCAGCATGAATTCAGCATGAATTCCCCAGAGGGGACCCACATGGTGCGGCAGACCTCTCCTGACCAGCCCGCTGCTCCCCTCAGCAGTATACTTCGGTGATCCCACTCTGTCTCTGGTGAATCCTCTCACCATCCCTGCACCTCTGGCCTTTACCCCAGTTCTGTATGCAGAAATAAATCTTTTAAAAAAGTTTCTATTCTACTGGGAAATGCTTCATTCTGTAATAAAGAGATGATGACATGAAGATCAAGCAAGGCAAAGAGTTTGCTTGAAGATCATTACCTAGTTAATGCTAAGACACAATGAGAGGTTGGCCCCCCACCTTAGTGACCTATATATCGACCACATCATACTCTGACCACTCAATGTTCGTCTATTTTTCAAATTGCTATTTAAAAAACCCAAAAAAACAAAAATGTACATATCCTTGTATTTCTCTGATTTTCATTTTCAGTTCTCTGATTTTAGCAACCTGGGCTTTGATTCTTTATATCTATACCCTCCCTAAAGACTGCTTCTCTACTTTTGCTATTTAACTTAGATCATCAAAATTGCCTTCTCTGCCTATACCACTGCTCTTCGCAATTACTCATTGGTTGGGTGAATTGTTTCAGTACATGCATTTGGAATGAAGAACAGGGTTATTAATCTGTGCGGTGAAATATGGTTAAATATACTGCTGAGAAGTGATTACTTTAATACACATAGACTGAAGATCAAAAAATACAGGTGAACTCTGGGCAGTTGAAGTAACCTAATGCTGTGACAACTAAATATGATTAGTCCAACTCATAAAAAGGAATCTTCATTTGTCCTTACCAGCTTTAGAACAAATGATCAACATGGAAAAAGCTAGAGGGCTTCTCTGCTCCCTTGCTCACCACTGGCATGTTGGTGCTTTATTATTCTCTAGTTTGCTGTTCAACACAAACAGCAGTTCAAATGCCATGCAAATTGCTGTGGCTAAATGTGTTTCCATCAACATTAGTTAATGAAAGTTATTATTATTATTATTATTATTTTGGTGAAAAGGCAGCAGTCCTGTGTATTTTCCCTGGACTGGCTCTAACTCTTCAAATTAATTAATACTAACTCATTATTACATATAGTCATTACAAGGGTAGGGGAGAATACCATTCAAAAAAGTAGGACATCAAGGATAAGAATTGAAGAATTTTGTTTTTTTTTCCCTTATTTTGCATTTCTCTGGCACACTCAAAGTCATAGATCATGACCATGCTTTTGGCTAAGACCATCTTGTACCACTTTTCTTTGCGTCTTT